ACTCTATCCATAATATTATGTTAAAATAGTGGATGTTAAATAGGTTTGTACAATAAGTTGAAACAAGTTTAACCAAAAAATATTTATTTCTCACTATTATGAAGGCTGGAGGGTTAGGGTTAGGGTTAGGGTCAGGGTTAGGGTTAGGGTCATTAATGTGGGCCACTAGTCACCATAACATCAGTAACAGGTCAGTTTGAAATGAAAGACACAATTCAGTTAAATTTAGGGGTCTTTGTTTTTATCCTTGTGGTATTGAAAATGGTATCGAGTATCGAGTATTTTCCTGAGTATCGGTATCCAGTTGAAAATTTTAGTATCGTGACAGCCCTACCCCAGACGTGTGCAGTCAGTATTGGCGGGAAATCTATCTAAACGCAGTCCCTGAGATGATTAAAGCTGCTCAGTGAGCTTTAGCTAGCTAACCGCCCTCAGCCTGTGGACATCCTGCCGGGTCCCCTGATGCCCCCCCCCTCTTCCCTCCTCTCTGGCCCGCTTTGGGGGCGGCTTCCTCTGCCAGGCCTGGCAGGAAGGGGCCCCCAGCTGCCCCCCCTGGCAGCGTTTGGAGGCCATTTAGCGGTTTTAGGCCTGTTAGCACATTTGTCGACATGTTCTGGCCTTCTGGAGCTCTAACCGGTTGCGTCTCGGTGCTGGATTCCTTCTTTTGTGTTCCCTCCATCCTGAACCAAAACGTCCTGCAAAAGGCCAGAAATGATCACAAATCTACAATAATTAGCTACAAAATGACCACAAATTCCTGCAACAGGCCAGAAAATGGACACAAAACTAAATACATTTGCCGTAAAATGACCCAAAAGTCCAGCAAAATACCATAAAATGGACACAAAACTACAATAATTAGCTACAAAATGAATACAAAGTCCTGCAAAAGGCCAGAAATGATCACAAAATTACATCAATTTGGCATAAAATGACAAAAAAGTCCAGCAAAACACCAGAAATGATCACAAAACTACATAAATGTGCCATAAAATGACCAAAAAGTCCAGCAAAACGCAAGAAAACGGTCAGAAATCGACACAGAATTGAAGTAGTTGGCTAACCCTAACCCAGCTCTGGCCTTCTGGAGCTCCCACCGGTTGCGTTTCGGTGCTGGATTCCTTCTTTTGTGTTCCCTCCATCCTGTCTGGAAGGTCTTACACAGAGCAGAGGAGAATCCATCCTGCAGGAGGAAGATTTTTGATGTGGCTATGGCCTTCAAAGGCCCCCCCGCTGCCTTTGAAGCCGCTAGTGCTTGCAGCAGGGTTACGTAAGACTTGGGAACCCTCCGCGAGTCGACTTATTTCCTTCAGACACTCCTTTAGAACGTGTGAAAGCCTGGATTGATGATCACAAAACTACAATAATTAGCTACAAAATGATCAAAAAGTCCAGCAAAAGGCCAGAAATGATTACAAAACATCATAAATTTGCCATAAAATGACCAAAAAGTCCGGCAAAAGACCATAAAATGGACACAAAACTACAATAATTAGCTACAAAATGACCAAAAAGTCCTGCAAATCGCCAGAAATGATAACAAAACTACCTATATTTGGCATAAATTACCGAAAAGTCCAGCAAAAGACCAGAAATTGTCTCAAAAGTACACCAATTAACCATACTATGACCAAAAAGTCCTGCAAAACACCAGAAAATGGACACAAAACTACAATAATTATCTACAAAATGACCAAAAAGTCCAGCAAAACACCAGAAAATGGACACA